AGTAATATGGCCAAAAATAAAAACAGCCGTTATTCGGCCATCCTTGATCCGATTTTGAAACAAATTGTCATGGATATGTATCCTAACATGTATAAAGTATGTGCCAAATTTGAATGAAAACTGACAAAGCATGTCCAAGATACCACATTTAAAAAAACAAACAAGATGCCTGCCAGTCGGCCATCTTTTATCCAATTGGGAAAGAAATTGTCATGGACATGTATCCCAACATGTATAATTTATGTACCAAGTTTGAATGAAAATTGACAAAACATGTCCAAAATACAACATTTTCAAAAAACAAGATGGCTGCCAATCGGCCATTTTGAATCGAATCGCTAAACCACTGCATGTGCACATGTCCCACATAAAGTACTAGGCACATGCAAAGAATGAACAGAATTGGTCCAAAGGATTCTGAAATATGACTATGGACGGATGGACGCACGGACAGACGGATGCACAGACAGACTTGATATCACAGAGTTTGTCACGTAATAACCTCTAAAAAATAGTTGACATCATAAGGTTTGTCATATAATAACCTCAAAATCAGATACTTTTTTCCAGGCAGACATACCCAGAATGAGAACACAGCAATATTCAATATAAAAATCACAGAAAAAGTTCACATATTACTACCAGAAATACTAATGTTTAGTAATACGTGTAATGATAAAAATTACACAGCTACTGGATCTCTTAATATCCGCCCTGTCAATCACTAAGCATCACAGAGCAGTTTCATAGATTAATTTGGAGTTTTCAGCATCTGTGGGTGTCATCAAGACACCAGAGGACTTTCTGTTTGATAATTGAAGATGGACTATATGACAAAATAAATATTCAATGTGAAGCATTACTGTAAAGGGATTAATTATTCACTGGGTTTTAATTTTGTGCTAAATTAAAACCCAGTGAATATGTAAAATTTAGCATAGAACACGTTATCTAAATGATAAAAATGAATTTAAAACCCACTGAATATGCCTGAAATGGTAAATCAGCGAAATTTAAACCCAGTGAAAATTAGTCATTTTACAGTATTTACCAGGAATAGTCTGAGATGCATAGCAGAATCATGAGTGGATTACAGCCTTTTGAATATATTGGATAATATTTTACTCATGTGTCCGCCCGACTGTTACATACTTGGATACTTCCTAGGTCAGTTGTGTTAAATGCTCTCTTGAATTCAAACCACAAGTGAAGACAAATAATGACAAATAAATTATGAATATTAAATAAAATGTGCGAGGTGGAGTGACTACCAAGTAAACGAAAATCTAAAAAATATTGTATTGAGGCAACGTCAAAAACTGCACACATAATTTTATTCTTAACATGTGTACGATACACGTCAAGAATGAATTGGTACAGTATCTATAGTTATTACATAATTGTAAAGTTTTTAAGAGTCTATTGATGAAAAACAGAGAATTACTCCTGTTCTCCAGTGTTTAAATAATGCCTTGATTTGTTTCATTGAAAATACTTACTAAATCTTTAAAACTTCAATATCAGTGAAAAATATATCAGAATAGGTCTGCAGCAGCTGTATATGTAGCTAATATTCAAAGCAAGCTCTGAACTTTGTCACTTATAAACTTATAAGTAAACAAAAGGTGAACACTAACTTATTAATTCTGAGTGTGATGCAATGTGAACTTTTGTCATAGTTCACAAATTTAAACCGACAAAAATTTTTTCATTTTCAAGACTTTTAGGAAATGTTGAATTATGTCTATTTAGTCTATTGTACCTAGACATGTTTCATAAAAAATACTTACTAAATCTTTAAATTTCAAAATCAACATCTTCACCAGCCAAAGTCCATTTATTCTGCATACCAGGTCGGTTTTGAAACTATGCAAAATCAGATGATGCAATATCGAACACTGAGAAATATATCAGAACAGGTCACTAACAAATTTGTTTTCACCTTGATGGTTGCCAGGTGGTGAAAATACCCGGATGTCCGCTCCCGGGGATAAAGTAAAAATAGGGAACATTTGAAATTAATTCAAATTTAAGATTAGCCTTGACTGACAAAGGTCTGCTTTTTGAGATCTAAGAGTGATAATTCACAGCCACACTGCCGGTAATAAATTATTCCCAACTTCATATGA